TATATATATATATATATATATATATATATATATATATATATATATATATATATAATGTATAAACATGTATATATATAATGTATAAACATATATATATATATAATATATAAACATATATATATATAATGTATAAACATATATATATATATAATGTATAAACATATATATATATATATACATATATATATAATGTATATATATATATATATATATATATATATATATATATATATATATATATATCTTCTCTGTCTTAAGAGTCCGAATTTTGTGATGAAAAATCCTTCAGAATTGTCAGAAAATAAATGGAAGTGACTGTTTTTGTCAATGCGTTCCCCATATCGAGAGTATGTAATAAATTTGGTCATGTAATCCTGATAAAGTTATAAGTTATTGACATTTGTAAAAACATTCATGAGAGTATGTTTCTAAAAATTGATATCCGATAATGCATTTCTCCTCTAATGGCTTCATAAGATGAATAATGAAAAGATTTGTTGTGTGTTTATGCATTTGTGTGTATAGAAAATAATTAAATCTTATATTATTTTTCCCAAACTGGCGTTGCTTGAGACTAAAAAGAGAAAGAAAAATAGTGACTTTCAAAAAATTGGTTTAACATGTTAAACATTTTATATTATCTGCCTCAAGAGTCCCAGTTTTGAGATGGAAAATTTAAAATGCATTATCGGATATTAATGTTCGAAACATACATTCAAGAACGTTTTTTTAAATGTCAGTAACTTATAACTCGGATTACACACACACACACACACACACACACACACACACACACACACACACACACACATATATATATATATATATATATATATAAGTTACGAAAAATTTGGTAATCCGTATGGGTAGTCCCAAGGAGGATGAAATCCTGAGAGCTCAATGTCAATTTAGAGCTTATAATTTAAAGAAAAACAGACCACTTTAATGCTCATAAATAATAATTATTTTTATTTATTTATTTTATTTTTATTTATTTTTTTTTATTTTTTATTTTTTATTTTTATTTTATTTTATTTTATTTTTACTCATTTTAATTATAATTAATGAGCCTTAAATTGGTCTGATTTTCTTTAAAATACATATATATATATGTGTGTGTGTGTCCGTTTATGTGTGTGTATGTGTTTGAGAGTCTGTGTTCACCTTCATATATATATATATATATATATATATATATATATATATATATATATATATCTTGGAATAGCTATCTAGCTTTTATATTAAAATTCAATTTGACGCGAATGTCACAATGACGTCATCCTAGTGAGACATCAAGATTTTATTTGTTTGTTTGTTTGTTTAGCGGCATATCAACTCCTTATGGGTCATTTAATGCCAAAAATTAATTTTGGAGGAGCTTGAGTAATTTTTTTTAATTTTTACAAAGAAATTGTTGCACGTATTTTTTTTACAACCATAGATAGTGATGATAGTCTGTTTCTCTTTACATGGAAGATTTCCAAGCAAGGACAAACTCGTGCATATAAGACGCTGGAAGCGAAAATCGCACCGTAGCTCATGACGTCAAACATGACCACACGAGAATGAATATATGCGTAATTTCCTCCAGTTGGTCCGGGGACGTTCTATCCTTTAGTTTATCGTAGATATCCTGTTTGTTGCTGTCTTGTCCACCGTGTATTACTTAATATATTGTAATGTAATTGGCATCTTTTATAATGGCTTATGAAAGCCGAAAGCTTAGATTGGATTAAAAATATGTATCAATATTGTGATTTTCTTTCTTCGTTTAATGATAATATTATTAAGCTTATCACACGTTATGAAAATAATTTACATAAAATAAATAGACAGCACTTGTCTATATTATTTTATGAAACATGTATCAATGAAAAAATGCTGCCTAAACACACACTCATATATATATATATATATATATATATATATATATATAAAGAATATTTCCTGCCTAAATACACAGAATACATACACACACACATATATATATATATATATATATATGTAAATACACAGAAATACATACATATACTAAATACACAGAATACATACATACATATACAAAATACACAGAATACATACAGACACACACACACGCATATGCATATATATATATATATATATATATATATATATATATATGAAGAAATATAGTTTTAAGGTGTGCTATATTTATGGGATAAAGTGATCAATGATCAGAGATAGAGCGTATGTAACTATAAATATAAAAGTGAACATTGAAGTCAACACTCAGAGGCGACAGGCTGTTTCATGCTGGACCCAATCATCAGGCCTTATATATATATATATATAACGACAACAAGGAAACTTAGACGATCGACTTCATCAAGGCAAATGTAAGGATTTTATTTTGTGACAAGTATTTATATACAAGAGCAAAAATATTGTTAGACTTTCAAGCTTTTAGGTATAGAAATGCTCATGAATATTCATCAGGTTATCAGGAATCTCTATGAACAGTCTGGACACACACACACACATATATATATATATATATATATATATATATATATATATATATATATATATGGACAGTCTGGATAAAGAAATCAATAATGTATATTAAAAAGCAACTTCACAACTTAAACGAGCAGCTGGTCTGCTGATCTAACGAATGTTTAAATCGTTAAACCTTCCATCAGCGCGCATTGTCGTTGTCTATATTCCCAATACAGAGGATACCATGGGTAAATAGTCGCCATTTTTTTTTAATTTCACGCATGCGTGTTGTTTACTTTTGATTTTGTCAACTACACATTATTGTAGGGTTAATTAGGCACGATTTGTGAGAAATAGAGCACGATGTCGCAATTCGCTCCGCCAGATATTTGAAAACAGCATTCTGTGCTGCTTGGCATTCGCGTCAGTAACTCCAATACAAACATTTCAGAGTGTTTGGGTGTCACTCTGGGAACAGTACAAATGATTCAGAAAGAGTTGGGAGAGTCTAATGATGATTACGAAGGTACGGCAGCTTGAAAAACTCACAAAGAACTCCCGAATTTATTTGTGAGGGCCTCAGACTCAACGCGGAGGCCTACATCAAGTACCTTGAGGAGGTAGTGCTATTCTGGGTCAAGAGAGTGTCTGCCGGAAGATCCTATATCTGGCAACAGGTCTCTTCACCATGCCACACATGCAGGAGACCCTTGTCGTGACTCTCAGACATTTTCCACGACTTTATCATCCTTTACATCTGCCTAACTTAACTCCCCAGATTTCATTATTATGGGTGGGGCGCACTTGAGCAAGAGACCAACAAAACTCTTTCTAACACCAAAGATGAACTGAAGGCAAGGATTATGGCGGCACTCACCAACTTAAACAAGAAGACGGTAAATAAATTTACTCTTTCGTATTCCAAGATATTTTTGAGTAATTTTGGGAAATATATCTCTTAAAATGAGATGCCAGTGTTATTTTCATTTTTGCGTAATTTAGATAACAATTTATCCATCCCACCCTGTATATATTGCGTAATTTAGATATCCATCCCTGTATATACCCGTAATTTGATATCCATATTATATTGCGTAATTTAGATATCCATCCCACCCTGTATATATTGCGTAATTTAGATATCCATCCCACCCTGTATATATTGCGTAATTTAGATATCCATCCCACCCTGTATATATTGCGTAATTTAGATATCCATCCCACCTGTATATATTGCGTAATTTAGATATCCATCCCACCCTGTATATATTGCGTAATTTAGATATCCATCCCACCCTGTATATATTGCGTAATTTAGATATCCATCCCACCCTGTATATATTGCGTAATTTAGATATCCATCCCACCCTGTATATATTGCGTAATTTAGATATCCATCCCACCCTGTATATATATTTGTTTGAAGAGGACATTGTATCATTTTGATTCCTATGTCTATACTGTCAATGAATATAACAGCAAACTTTCCGATAATTAACATTTTTCCCTTGAAAAGATCACAAACTTTTACTAATATACACATATATTTTAAGATATTTTTATGCTTATACATTCTTTTTTTATAGATACAAATATTTAAGTTAATGCTCTGCTTATAATAAACAGTATTAACAACATTTACCGCCTGAATGTCCGAGAAATTGTCATAGAAAGTATACGTCCTCCGACAGGAATCGAACGTGTATCCTATACGGAACCGTCATAGAGTTGTTTATACTGTTTGCTATAAACAGCATTTACTTGAATATTTTTATGTATAAAAGAAAAAATAATGTATAAACATAAAAATGTCTTAAAACAATTGTCGGACTTTGTCCATTTCATAATGTGTGACGTCATTTGTTTACATTTGAATACGCTTTGAGCAGATATGAATGTACGTGAGAGAATCATGGAAGATTGTAGTTTAAAGGCAGTAAAATCGACATTGCTGGCCGAACGCTCCTCTGTGGCCAAAACGGTTAAGGCACGTCAGGCTATATGACGTATAGAATACAGGTTCGATTCTTGTCGGAGGACGTATGTTTTATGTGACTATTTCTCGGACATTTAGGCCGGTTAATACTGTTTATTATAAACAGAGTATTTACTTAAATATTTGTATCTATAAGAAGAATGTATAATTTATTTTTTTTTATTTATTTTTTTTCGAACGTTATAGAATTATTCTGATAACTTTATCAAAATAAGTTTATTGAACTTTATATTTTGGAATTATATAATTTACCTTTATATCCTTATTTTTCCTTGATAAAATGTTCTTTGAAGCTTTAAAATAAAAAAAAGTTATTTCAATTTGGACTTTTTCTTTACATTGTTCTGATCGGGCCATGCTGCTAGTAAAAAAATAAAAACAAGAAATTTAAAAAATAAAAAATATAAATTAAAATTAAAAAAATAAAAAATGTGTTGATGTTGATAATGCCGACTCTACAAACTGGTGATAATGGTTGATATAAACTCATCAGCAGTAATCAGGTATCCATGCTTCTTAAAAAGGACTAATCTTTTAATAGGAGGACATCTGAGCTGACGAGGTCACGCCAGGTTGTACCCTGCTTTTGTCAAAACCTGTCACCATATTTGACTGCGTCATATGAGGTATCCATTGAGCGTCTCATATTTGTACCTCTCTTTGTTGGCATGATCTCTCTCTCTCTCTCCCTCCATCCCTCTCTCCCCTTCTCTATCAATAGTAAAGCAAACAAGAAAACAAACCACATGCGCCAAACTCACGCGTGAACGTGATGACATACGAGATTAGTAATTTGCAATGGGAAATGTGAAACGAGTAACCGTAACGTTACTTATGATACCTGCCGTCATAATCCAATATTCAGTTATGGTAATATCGTTAGGAAGAAAGACTGTTAATCTGCTATGCACTAACAAAGCCCCTGTATTCCAGTGATTCCAAGGCAATCACTTCACAGATGACGAGGACGACAAAGCCGTGAACCAACTGACGAATAATGCCAAGGCAACTGATAAAAGAGTTGAACGACGGAAAACATTTAAGGAAAATAGGTTTGGTTTGGTTTGGTTTACGGCATATCAACCTCAATGGATTATTTAGTGCCGACATGATTTTTATTGCTGGTAATATTTTTTATCTATGTATCTATCTGTCTGTCTGTCTATTTCAGTATATATTGATTTGGTTTGGTTTCTTTTACGGCATATCAACCTTAATGGATTATTTAATACCGATAAGATTTGTATTACTGGTAATAGTTTTTTTATCTATCTATCTATCTATCTATCTATCTATGAATTTCAGTATATACTGGTTTGGTTTGGTTTGGTTTGTTTTACGGCATATCAACCTCAATGGGTTATTTAATACCGACAAGATTTTTATTGATAGTCATATTTTTTATCTATCTATCTATCTATCTATCTATCTATCTATCTATCTATATCTATTTCAGTATATATTGATTTGGTTTGGCTTGTTTTACGGTATATCAATCTCAATTGGTTATTTAATGCGACAAGGTTTTTATTGCTGTTATTTTTTTTTCAAAAATATATTGTTGGTAATATTTTTTTCAAAAATGTATTGCTGGTAATATTTTTTTCTAAAATGTATTGCTAATAATATTTTTCTCTTCAAAAATATACTGCTGGTAATATTTTTTTCCTCAAAAATCTATTCCTGATAATAATTTTTCCTTAAAAAATTATTGCTAGTATTAAAACGTACTTTTATATTATTTTCATAATGTTTTGACCCCTTTTGTGGGAGTTAATTATTTGCTCATACCTGGGACCCTAACAGAAGCTACCACCCCGGGTCAGGGTGGACCTAGGAACACCATAAATTTAGAGGTGGTTCTATGCGCCTCAAACCTCCTTATCAGAGGCCTTGATGTCGGATGTAGTTGATTGTCATACCCAGGACGGCGAATGTAGTTTATCGTCTTACCCAGGACGTGGATGTAGTTTATCGTCTTACCCAGGACATGGATGTAGTTTATCGTCTTACCCAGGACGGATTTTATATTTTAATCTATGAATAAATATTTTTTGTACGCAAATGACCAAAAGTTCGTTCCATGTCAAAAACATGGAGATTGAAATGACTTAGATATTGAAATGCTGCTTTTTCAATCTGTAATTGTCCAAAACCTCACAGAAAAAAAAGACGTGAGACAAAGGAAATGTGGTTCTACAGAAAGACGCCCAGAACACCATATACTGAACATGCGAGTAATGAGAAAGTTTTATAGGAAATAAAAAAGGACAGTTATACTTAGAATGTGAAAGAGACAATTGACATTTATAGGGCACAGAAAGAAACGTTTAGAACGTCAATAAATTCTTCCTTGAGAAAAAAAAAATATACGTAAATTACTACTAAAAACTATTTTTCATCGTCATGGATTTTCCCCTTTTTTAAAGTTAGCATTTAACTTCTACAAAAGTGAAAGAAAATAACTTTACCCAGTTTAGATATCGAGAAATTCCTCCTGTTAAATGTTATGTCTCCTTGCATTCCATTAGTGACTAATAATAGTTAATGAAATCACTGAAATGTAATATGTGCATTAAACATGTACTAACTGCAAGCATGACTTAAGCACACACATACATTATGAAATGAAAGTTCAGTTTTAAAAAAATCATTCTTATCTGACACTTCGATCTTACATGGCTGACATATCACTTACCGTGCATGACTCAAGAAGATATTTTAACCCTCATCTCTCATTACAAAGCTACACAATAATCAGGATAATATGTATTAGAAGAAATAGAAATTACAAAGAAAGTAAAACTTGACGAGCTGGGACGTTAGTTTGGAGACAACCTTAGCTGTAACTTGTGCCAACCTAAATAAAGAGTCATCGGGTCAACTATATCAACTTCAGAAAAACCTCAATCGTTTAAACAAGAAATGCAAGCGGAACTTAGCAAAAGAAAAGGTCCAAGATATGAGCTACGACTTGGAAATGTCAGGAACGACCAACTAGAGAAATTTAACTAGAAATCCGAAGGCGCATTGTGATAGTGAAAGCTGCTCTTCAAAAAACTACAATTATTAAGAAACTAAAAATTTCCGTTTGAAACAAAGAAAAGCGTGTTGTAATATTAATCCTCTTATATGGGAGTGAAAACTAAATAATTTCCTCACAAAATGAAGAGGAGATTTGGGGTAAAAGAGACATCATGGTGCCATAGAAAGATATTGAAAATATCATGAACAAAGCATCTGAGTAATGAGGAAGAATTAAGGATATTGTAATCAGAACCGTTACTTGTACTTATAAAGAGAGTTGCTCTCTGCCTTCCTTCAAGAGTTCATTTTGATGGTAATCCTTTTTTTCAAGAATTTTATGTTAAACGTAGCGGATATGGGAGGCCTGTAAATCCCCATGATTGGCATCTCTTAGTTATAAATAAATCGCTGGATGTCAGATTCAAACTTTTAAAGGGACTTGCTAAGATTGTGTGTTATATTTGGAGTATTTTCAAACAGCCTTGCGGGCCATTTTCAAGGGAAGAACGTAAAAATTAACCAATATAGCCTTCATGTTGTTAACTAGTCCCAAGATTGAAATGAACATTTGAAGGAAAAACTTTATTCGCTCTCCATTCTATTTAATAGAACATATTTAACGGAGTTGGTGCCGGAATATTATGTTTACATTATTTTTCTGAAGCAGCTAAAGGCATTACAAACATTAGAATTTCGCCGTAAGTATGTCACACGTCAGAACACACCCACCCACCCACATGCAGATAGATAGATAGATAGATAGATAGATAGGAACAGAATAAGTGAAGTAAGAAATAAAAAAATAATAAGAGCAAAGAAAATAAGGGGAATTGTCGTACAGAAAGAAAGAAAGAAAGAAAGAAAGAAAGAAAGAAAGAAAGAAAGAAAGAAATATTTAAAAGAAAAAATGACGTTGAGAAAATGAAGAAAGAAGAGAATGGATGTTTAGTTGACTGGAAGTGATTGAACTACGACCCGTAAAATAAATGCAATGAAGCTAAAAAGAAAAAAAAAAAGAAATACTGAATCTATCAGCAGAAGAAAAACCTACAAAGTAATAAACAATATTAGACCCGTGAGACAATAAATATCCGAAAAGGACGATGAGAAAGACAAATGGCGGAGGTTTGGATAAATTAGGGGGACTTATTGCAACAGGAATTTTCCCTTAGTTACAATACACGAAAGAAGAATAAAACGGAAAGGAAAATGGAAAATTACAGTTTAAAATGTTCACACTATTCACCAAAGACTTTCTAATCTGGCGATTTCTCTTAAATCTTGTCATTGTTGTCATCGAAGACAAGTAAGGAATTCAAATAAAGCCTTGTAAATGGTAATCAACGTTTTTTTCCTATTTTCGAATCAAAGTCTAAACGGTAGTTTAGCCGAAGTGTAGTTGCACAAGATTATATCGAGTGCACTTTTCTTTCGCCATGTTTTCCACGGTTATCAGTAGACATGTTGTCTCCAAAACGTGAAACGCTTCCAATTGGCCTATCTCTTCAATAGTTTCGGAGAATGTCGTTTCCGATAGAAAATTAACAACAGTGTTGGATAAAAATGCGTAAAAAAAGGAAGTAATGATTAAATAAAAAAAAAATAGAAATGAAAAAAACGTTGGACAAAAAGAAAAATATTTTAATTGGAAGAAAAGAGAAAACATAAACAAACAAAAGAAGAAGAAACTGATCAAGTAATAGATAAATGATTGAAAACGAAAATTATATATATATATATATATATCCAATGCGTTGAGAACGAAAGTAATATATAAATTCCAACGTTCACAGCATTAATCCAAAAGAAGGCTCGATACCGATTGTAGAGCGATAATTATTTATTTATTATAATTTTATCATATAGACAAAACCATTTTACATACTACAAAGATGCAACTTTGTTTCAGTGCATTTATGTATAAACAAGCACTCTTCAAACAAGGAAATATTCGATAAACACAAAATTATCTATAACAAAATCCTTACCGACAGTGGTTACAGATCTTCCGAAATTAAATATAGAGAAAATTGTAGTTATTCTAAAAAAAATAAAAAATTGAGGAAGGAGAATAATTTGGTATACACCTCCCTTCAACAAATTAGTCCTTACCAAATTAGGACACAAATTCTTAAATCTAATTAACAAGCACTTCCCTATGGAGAGTAAATTAAGCCAGATCTTCAATCGAAATACCTTAAAAATTAGTTATAGCTGTTCTAGAAATCTAGATAAAATTATTTAATTGCATCACAATAGAATACTGAAACTTCATAGAGAAAATAATTGCAACCTAAATACAAATACACCCCAGGAAAAAAGGCTATGTGATTGTAGAATCCCCGATCAATGTCCATTATTAAACAGGTGCTTATCCTAATCCATAGTGTATATATGCTATATCTCATCAAATGAGAACCTCAGAGATATTAGGCTGTATGTGGGGGTCAACTAGCAAACCTTTTAAGGATAGGTATTATAATCACATGAACTCCTTTACAAATACGGCCAAACCAAATATGACATCAATTTCGAAATATTTTTGGAAACTCAAGGAAGAAGGAAAAACGCCTATGGTTAAATGGAAAATCCTCAGACAAACCAGAACCTGCAATTTTCTGAGCGAACCTTGCTTCTTATGTTTACAAGGAGAAAATATGTATCATTGATCTCTTGAATAACACCCAATTATTAAATCAAATATATGAAACAACCGTTTTCTGTAGACATACTAAGGATCTAACACTAAAATCTTGTTAAATTCTTAATTCCATAACTATAAAAGTTTTAAAATTATAAATCACCTCCTTTGATATATTCCCTACCGTCTTATGTACCTCTCCACTAATTAAAATATAATTCTTACTTCTTTTTTTTTCATACATATTACTGGTAATATTTTCAGATAAATCGTTTTACACCCATACTTATTCTACACGCTATACGGCCCAGGAATATTTCAAAATTTGATTATAAAAGGTTATATTAGCATCCCTTATTTTTTTTTTAGAGGAAATCACCACTTCTAAATTTTAATCCACAAAACACGTTCATTGATTACAGAATTAGTAGTGATAACCCCAACATAAATACATGCAATTCAGCTCTAGAATTTTTATAGTAAATCAAAAATAACATTCCCAATTATTACTCGAAGCATCACTACAATTTTTACCTACTTAAACGTAATACTATCCCCTATCTCCATCTTTCCTCCCCCCTACCTCTCACTCTTAGGACCCTTGTGAGATGATGTGCCTGGACTTTTGACCGGTGTTTATCGGGAAAAAAAATTTCCACAGACCATTCAACATTAAACATCCAATCCATTTATCACCAAACTGCTATCAACAAACACTATTGTTTCACTCTGTCACCTATATTTTTTTTTTCTTCGCAAATAAATGGAAAAAAAGGAAGTGACGTTTCACATACGGCT